TTTCTATTATTGTCTGTAAACTTCATGGGGAGAAATAATTATCCATCTAGTTAAACAGGGTTACTAGGATAGGGAAATATAAATAAAGCCCCGCAAGGATTCCAATTTCCCTTTAATGAAAAAATCAAAACAAAAAACAATTGTTGCGAACCCTGCTCCCATTGGTGTGTGTTTCTATTGCTTCCTATCCTTATGCACCGATATATCGGCCGCCGAAACATATCGGCCGAAAATGGTACTTTTGGCAAAATGCTGAAAGTGGATTTTTTGGCTGAAATAGCGGTGGATCCTTAGTTTCTCTCCTCCCCTCTGGGCGCTGCGTCCCAGTGGGGAGGAGAGAAACTGTCACAGGAAGCCGAGCTGTGTGGGGAGGAGAGCGATGTGAGCGGCTGGTGTCTCTACTCCCCGGCCAACCTCCTGTCACAGATCGGGAGAGCAGCAGTGTGGGTGGAGACCGCTCTCAATCCTGTCACAGGAGGCAGGCCAGCGGTGCGCGGGAGGAGTCATCTGTCAGATCGAAATCTGCTCCCCGCACCACTCGCTCAGCCTCCTGTGACAGCGTGTCAGGAAGCTGAGCTGGTACAAACACTCAGGGTTTACTGAGTGTTTGTAAATGTTTGAGGACATAGTATGTTTACTGTGTCCTCAATTATGAATGCATGGGAAGTTTCATGATTGTGGATATAGTAAACATACTCTGTCCTCAAGTTATGAATGAACAGGAACACTCAGTATAGAGAATTCCTGTTCATTGATAACTGAGGCTGCAGAAAAAGAGATTGAGGACTGTGTGTGCTCTCTTTTTCTATTTTGAAAGGGAAATATCAGGGGTCTGTTTAGACTCCAAATATTTCTCCGAATCGCCCAACAGTAAAGTAAGAAATAAAAATATTTAATAAAAATTAAAAAATATAAAGAAACTAAAAAGTTTATAAAAAAATAAAAATTAAATATTTGAAATTTTAAAAAAAAGTTAGAAAAAAAAGAAGCATTCTGTTTCGGCCTGACTTTTTTTCATGTAAATTTTGGTGCGCCTCTAGTTAGTACCAGTTAGTATAGCAGTACTGTCAAGCCACGATGGCTTGTTTTCGTAATCTCATAGGGAAGGACTTTGAAACCCTGAACTCACAGCATCATTCAACCCAGAAGACCAGCAGCAAAAGAAGGATGCAGTGAAACTTCAGGGGACAGCGGCAGAGAAGAGGTGTGTATTGCAGAGAAAGATGCTTCCTTTGACCACCGTTTTTAGAGAGTAGCACTAAAATCTAAATTCCAATTGTACAAAAACTGCAGTAATTCCGAGCAATCAATCAAAACACAATCCATCCTGAAAGGCCAGATTAAAGATGAAAGTTAAAATTTCAGCAAAATGTAACAGCACACTGATATCCGCTGCACCTTTTTTAATAAAGGCCCATATACTTCATACTAGCTGAAAGGTTCAGTGTACATATCTGTCACACAAAAAAAAAGCTATGTTAAGTATTTTCTAAACCCCAAGTGAGCCTTTTATGCTCTCCAGTACAGAGCTGGCTGAGCCTTATTTTCACATTAGCTCACTGTATAAATATAGGAGCTCCAGCTGAATATATTTAGCAATGTTTGTGCTTACTGGAGAATTCTGAATAAAACCATGTGCCAGATACAGTAAAAGTATAATACAATTGATGAATTGTAAAATACAGAGAGCTGATGGAATAAAAAGGATTTACGAGGAGGTAAATGGAGGTAACATATGCGGAACCTGGAAACTTACATTGCAGAATGAGCACCAGGGGATTGAGAATTGGCTTCATAAGAATAAAGTACAAAGAACATGTGGGGGTCATATCCAGAGCACACAATTACAGTAAATAATACAGAAACATGATGGGCTTACATTTATGTGAAGTCCATACTACTATTTGGGTATTGATGGCTCACTACTGCGATAATTGGCTGCCCTGTGGGATTTACATGATGAATTAACTTTTTATATAAAAGTAACTGCTAAAATGAACTGGGATTTAAATAATGTAAATGTAGAATACAATTGCAAATATGTGCATCCAAATATGTGGTAACAAGGTGGACATCAGTCAGTGCAAAGTTCTCTAAGAACTGGTGGGAATAGCAATATATCTAAAAATATATGTATTGTATGCTATACTAAGCACGTGTCAGCTGCTCTTCCCCTTCCCAAACAATTCTTTGGGTTTATAGGAATGTGTGGCAGGTGAAAGGAGGTGGGCCAGCGCTTGTTACTTCCAGGAGCGCTAAAACCTTCTTGTTATAGCAACATAGGATTCAAGCTACTTTGGATGCCGAGAAAGACATGTACAGGTACAAATAGGGAGCTGCCTTAGGCCCCGTTCACATTGAGCGGTTCGCAAATCGCGCGATTTGTCGAGCGATATCGCGCAAATGCTTGCATTGAGCAAGCTTGAATCGTGGCTAAATCCGCTCCAAAAAGGGTCCTGCTGTAGCGACACACGACCCGCGACAGCAGGACCCTTTGCGCCATTGAGAAGCATTGGAGAGCGATATCGCACGGTAAATTGGCGCGATATATCGCTCAATGTGAACGGGGTCTTATAGTTATGACACCTGTTCAACACCATTAGATACGGACAGCGTTTCTTTAAAATTGACTGCTTACACTTACCCAAGCAATTTGAAAAAACCACTAGAAGCCTGGCTATTGCTCCCGCCCACGGAGCGGACCTGAGAGAGAAAAGTTCTCCATCAGGTCTGCTCCTCTGCTCAGTGGGCGGGTGCAACAGCCAGTCTGCTATTGGCTATTGCAATTTAAAATAGCCAATATCAGCCTGGCATTGTTAACATTCTGCTGCCAACCATGGAATCTAGCTGAGGTCCGGTAGCAAGATGTAGTGATTCAATTTCTATGATGCAAACCGCCAAAAAAAAAATGTTTTTTTTTTTAATAGACAAGGTGACAGGGTACCTTTAAAATATATTTGGTAAATATGAGTTCTAAGGTGTTTATTCTTGCTCTAAAATGGGTATGTACACAGGACAGAAAAGCAACAAACCTTTTTCACCCCACCTGGAACATCAATACTAGCTCGTTGAGTTAAGTTAATAAGTTAAGTCAACAGAATTGCAAATAGGTGAATGGTAATAATTAGGGATGTACTGAAATTTCAGCTGTCGAAACATGTCGGGTCGAAATGGCACTTTTGGCAAAATGCCATCTTTCGACCAAAATTGCAGCGCATGGCTGGTTTCTCTTCTCCCTGCTGGGCACTGCTCTGTGTCCCCTCCGACACAGCACAGCGCCCAGCGGGGAGGAAAAAAAAATGGTCACAGGAGGCCGAGCAGTGCGGGGGAGGAGAACGATGTGAGTGGCCGGCATGTCACAAGAGGCTGGACTCTCCTTCCGCACCGCCCTGCTCAGCCTCCTGTGACAGATCAGGAGAACGGTGTGGGGGCAGACAGCTCTCGGCTGTGACCGAAGGCTGGGCCGGCAGTGCAGGGGGG